CTGGTAAGAATATGATTGGTGTATTAACTTAATATCAAAAATCTGCAAGGAAAAAAATTACACAAACTCCACCCACATTAATTCATTTTGAGGTTTCTTAACCGGCTGCTGAGAAATGTTCAATCCACTTAAGAATAAAGGCTTCCAACACAATGGGTTCATTTGCTTTTTCAAGGCAAACTTTGCAAAGTATTAGCCTAGAGAGTAGAGATTACTAATCTTCAAATCCTGTAGATAACATCTGACATAGAACTTTATTACGGATAATAGATGCCAAATAAATGCTTATTGAACTGAACTGAAAAGCTGGGAAAAAGTTGTCTGGTTATCAAAGTGCATTATTGGATTATCATACTAAGTGAATGAAGTAAGTCAAAAAGAAAAAGACAAATATCACAAGGTATCACTTATATGTGGAATCTAAAATACGATACAAATGAACTTATTTACAAACCAGAAACAGACTCACAGACAGAAAACAAACAGGGTTGCCAAAGGGGAACCGGAGTGGGGAGGGATAAATTTGGAGTTTGAGATTTGCAGATTCAATTTACTATATATAAAAATAGATAAACAACAAGGTCCTACTGTAAAGCACAGGGAACTATATTCAATATCCTGTAATAAACCGTAATGGAAAAGAATATGAAAAAGAACCGAATCACTATGCTATACACCAGAAACTAACACAACACTGTAAATCAGCTATACTTTAAAATAAAAATTTTTTTTAAAGTGCATTATCAACTTGGGACTTCCTTGCTGTGTCTTACTTTGCTTCCTAAGAAATCAACACTTAGGTTCCATTTTTTAAAAAATTACGTGGAACAAGAAAAATGCTGACTTTTCTATAAAGTTTACTCAATTATTCCTTCAACAAATATTTGCTGAACACCATGTGCTAAGCTCTGTCCCAGGTTCTGAATATTTTAAAGGTAGGCTATCATGTTTTAAATAAAAGTGTGTAATGATACGAACCCCAATAATTCCGGGTAAACTAAAAGTTCCTGAGCAAGAGTTTAATGAGCTGCTGCTCAGAGAGTTTACTATGCAACCTTCATTGAATGTAGTCATATTCTCTAATAACACTAATATCATGTCAAATCTCCCATTGGTAATCATTAGGTAACCTACTTCTCTCTATCCAGAACCAGCAATTCAGAAACTGGGCTCTGAAGTGGTGTCACCTGCGTCAAATCACTTAATTTTGTACAGTTTCCCCTATCTGTAAAAGAAAATTAATTAGAAAAATGTGCCAACTAAAAATTGTCGCTTGCCATGTGGCACCAGAATGAAGTCACTAGCCACTGCATTCGCTGACCTTCAACACACCTTGAAAGGAGTTCAGGGAGGAGGTGAGGAATGATGCACTCTGCAATCTGGGAAAAACTAGCAAAACAGGCTTCTCGATAAGTATTTTCAGAAGATTTTATGAGCCCAATTTCTTGCCTCTTCTCATATCTAGAAAAGCAGTAAAATCACAAAGGGAGACACCTGCTCCTCATGACTAGCAGCAACCTGCTCGTGACGTGTGCTTGAGTACATGTACTCCCCCTTCACTAAAACCATGTATGATACTGGCTCTCCCCTGCCTCCCCCAAGCAGTTCCTCAGAGCAACCTGAGACTTGGTCTACCCGGCTGTAGTCCTCATTTTACCCCCAAATAAAACCTAACTCACAACCCACAAGTTATATATACATATATTTTCAGACCACAAATGGTAAAGCCTGTTTTAAGTCTGCTATTCTATAATCTTAAATTAAGATCTAATTAATTC